AATATTTTCAACAATACTGCAAGCAATTCTGTGCTGTATGGGTTATTATTTATGTATGGTTGGGTTATTATTTATGTATGGTTAAGTTATTATTGATACCCTTACTTACAATCCTTGCAATGAAAGGCATGGAATTGTCCCTCTCCGATTTTGAGCTTTGAAAATGTTTTCTAAACAAAAAAATAAAGAATACGTATTTTTTTACACGTGTCTGGTTACACTTAAGAGAAGAAACTCTCTTTAGGTTAGGTTAGATTATTTTATTTCGAATCGAATATTGTTGAAATTATGATAGAAAAAATATTTGAGATAAAAATTGATTTCAAAAGTACTTTATAATTTAAAACAATTTGTTAAAATAAAAATTCATGTCCTTTATTTTCTACAAAATAATAAATTAAAAACTTATTAAAGTCGGAGGAAAACTTCTATGCTTTTTCCTGTTAATAATTCTTCTATTTATGTATTATTCTATTAAGTTTCATAAATATAAGTATTTTTTCTTTTATAGATGACCGACAAAAGGAAGGAAAATTTCTCTGCTGATGAGAAAAAAATAATAATTGATTTTGTCTTTCAGAATAAAAGTATTCTGGAAGATAAAAGCAATAATATGAGCAATAAGAATCTTAAGCAGGAAAAATGGAAAGTAATTGCCAACATTATTTCCTCCAGAGGAGTTGCATGCGATTGGAAGGAGGTACGCAGTGCATATCAAAGATGGAAAATGTAAACAAAGAAAAATTTTGCATAAAAGGTCATTACACCGTACCGATGGTAGTCCATATATTCCAGAGCCTTCTCCTTCAGATGATATGTTAAAGGAAATTATATTAGAAGATTTCGAGGAAGATGAAAATATATTTGATTCCAACGCAATGGTAAAGCTGTAACATATTTTTTACTGCAATTTAAGATATAAAAAATAAAATTTATTTATAATTATCTCTGCTTTTACATAGAGAACAGTGTGCAATATACAGCAGCCAGAACAAGACAATACAGAAAATTATTTGATCGATCCCGTTACTGGGTGAGAGGTTATCTTCAATTTCTTAAATGGAAATCCCAATTTTTCGTTGGATATTCTTGTAGCTTACCTCAAGAGTTTTCCAAAACTATAATAAAATATTTTTTCGTCAAGTACTAAAAAATACTTGATGAAAATATTTTATTATTGTGTTTTGGAAAGCTCTCGAGGTAAGCTACAAAAATATGCAATGAAAAATAAGTAAGTAGTATTTTTATCAGACTTTATTTGTAATTATTATAATTGTAGATTCTTAGTATCTGAACAATCATCTGAAGAACCATCTGAAGAAAGGACGGAAGTACAGATGTCCACAGATATTTCTCTTTCTGAACCTGGCAGTACACAAGAAGTTGTTCCTGCAAATCAAAAGAAGAAAGCTATATCAGTATTTAGAGAAGCAGTGTTTCATTTGTATGAAGAAAAAATACATAACGAAGATACACGAAATAAAATTGAACACGAACTTAAAGTAAAACTCTTAGAAACTGAACACAAAAAAAACTTAGAATTAATAGAAAAAAAAAGAAAAGTGCAACAATTAAAAATGAAACTTTTAAAGATAGAATTAAATAAAAAATTAGAAAATTTAAATAATTATGATATAAGTGGCGAACATTGACAAATGTTATTAAGATTAATAATCTGTTTACACACTAACTCATGTTTCACCAAAGTTACATTTTAATCAGTAGTCAAAATGCCGTTGTGCAAAATCCAAACGAAATGCTGTGCCAACTTGTACAGCTGCATGTGGAACAGCAGGTTCTTCTTCGCTATCACTTTGGTTCTCCTCATCATCATTTTCTGTAACAAATGTAATACTTTATATGTGTAATGTATGTTATGTAAAATATTTATATACGTTAACGTAATTTCTATACGTGATGTTTTATGTATGTTATATACTTGAATAAGTTTTATTTACGCATATATATACAAATGTATATATATATATATATACACATATATATATATTTATGTATATCTTTGTTATGTACATATATGTATATTCATTCTTAATGTAATTATTTATAAAATTGTGATTATAATCTTTTTTTGTTCAAGATGTACTAACCATATTCAAAATTGTCAAATTGTTTCCGTATATTAAACAGAACTGCCATAGCAATAATTGCAATTTTTGCTATCTCTAAATTAATCTGCATATTGTTTTGTAATGCTTTAAACATCCCTTTCCATTCGCCAAAACATCTTTCAATGCAAATACGAGTGCGAATATGGGCCCAATTATATCTATTTTCAATAGCAGTTTGAGGATTCAAAAAAGGTATTAAGAAATATGGTCTGCAAGGATAACCTGCATCACCTAACAATATTCCTGTCATTCTGCGTTCCTACAATATAAATAACAGATATAATAATTCGAAGACAGTAATATAAATTATAAGTGGTGTTTGACATACTAATTTTGATTTCAATGTAAGTGTTGAATTTCTGCTTAAAATATAATTTATCAATGGTACTTTTAACATTAAACTATCATTGATAGTTGGAATCGGGTATTAACATGTATATGTAGTGCTTGGTGTAAACTAGAGTATTATAATTACCTCAAATTCTTTCTTCAGACGACTTGAATCCTGTATTCGGGAATCATGAGCGCTACCCCTCCATCTGACAACAATATCTAAAATTCGACGCTATGCATTTATGGAGTAAAAGCCTTTTCGGTTCATGTATAGCATAGCTCGTTCTTGACTGGGACACTTAATATGTATATGAGTACAATCAATGCATGCAACCACTTATGGAAAATGAGCTATGTTGTAAAATTCGGTTTGCAAGTCTTCCATTCTATCAGGAAAATGCACAAAGTGTGGTAAATGTGATAGTTTCCGATACTTTTGCCACAATTCTGGATACAGTTGACTGTGATACTCCATGCAGATCGCCTGAAATTCAATGTAAGATATATGCTATATATTATAAAAATGATTACATAAGGGATGTGTGCTTTTCATTATGTGACACAATATCGACACAAGTGTATTCTATCAGTGCGTTCAGAACATTTATTTTGTAACTATTAAAAGTTTTCTTAGCACTGATTGGATGAAACACATTTTACAATAAGCCATTAGTAATGAATCAGAAATCAGAAGTTACAAATTGATCAATCACAGTCGAATGCAAGAACGAATGATGAATTTTGATTCTGACTTCTGATTTATTACTATAGTACCTTATTGTAGAATGTTTAGATCTAAAGAAGTGGTCCTATTTTCAGCAGACAATCATAAAACGGTTGCAAAACTGTTGCGTTCTGCTGAATGCATCCTTCACTATGCCCATGAATGTAAAAAAAGTAAGAGTGATGCTTGTGTCGATTTGTCACCAATGAAAAGCTATAACAAAGAATTATGTATATATATTAATAATTAAACATTTTTATATAGTTATTTATAAAAAATATAAATGTTATTGTCTCTAGAAAAAAATATTAAGTTGTACACTCTAAGTTAAATTATACTTGTACAGTACAACCAAATCATATACATCTATATGTATATGTATTAAATAATACAAACCTAATTCTATTTGGTAGCATCTTTAGCATAAAAACGTAGAGCAATTAATACTTGTAACGTTGGTGATATGTCTTTCTCATGCCCTGCTCCAGAAGATAACCTTTCTTCAACTAACCCTATAACGAATCGTACTGATTCTTTAGAGTAAGTGAAAGTACTTTTAAAAGTAATAATTTTATATATTCCTTGTATGTCACTTTTTTAGACTTTGTTCTTTATTTTTTATGTAAATGTTATATGAGATATTAATCCAGTTATGAATGCAATTAGAATTTTTTGCTTACATTTATTTTATATTACTGCTGTCCAAGATTGTAATTCTGTGAATATCGGCTTAATGCATATAGGTATTCGATAGGTGTATCCAGAAGAACGAACGCTCAGTGAGCTCTTGTACCTGCTTGAACTATATTTTTAAATCTAATGGAATATGCTAATCAGATGCAGAAGTTCACTGAGCGCTCAGTGAACGGTCACGCTTCTGGATACACCCACTGTCTTTCTTTTGCTGTTCCTATTTAAAAAAGGAAGGTAATAAAATGTAAACACACTTTAAATCAATACTTAGAATTACAAATCTTGGATGTTAAATATACAAACTATAAAATATATTTAGTACTATTAAATATACATTTCATGCGACAAAATATTCAAATTATAAAATTCAACTGCCATATTCGATGTGATATAATGGACTATTGTTTACATACACGCGTTTACCTTAAAATTATCGCGATACGAGACTCAAGTATTGACAAGTGATAATGCAGAAAAATACAAGCCGTTGGAGGATTGTATTTTTCTGCATAACATTATCAATTGTCAATACCTGAGTCTCATATCGCAATAATTTTAAGGATTGATGACAATAAAGCAGTATTGCAGTAATTTTATGTTCACACAAACACTAAATGTCGCATTGTGAAAGTTTTTTCTCTTTTATTATAAAATAAAGTATCGCTCTTATAATAAACGTCTTTTAATAATCAAATTAAATGTGACATGTTTGTTTATTTATGTTTAAGTTTAATAAACGCCAAATAATCACCGAATTCGAGTTTTTAACTTCATGACTACAAAAGCTACAAACGGAAATTCACCGTATCTGTTTACAACTGCATGGGTGCGCACATGAGATCCGTTCCGTTTCTCTATGCGCTGCATGCGCATGGGAAAAAGGAACCGAGCTAATGCGCGTGTGGCGGTCTTAGTACGAAGTTTATCTACGTTGGAGTTTCCTTCTTTACCATCACATGTTTTTATTTATCGTTTTTACACATTTAAATTCACTTTCTTGATTCACTTATTTTATTAGCAAATTCTTTGTCAAAATCAATATTTCTCTGGAAACTGTTTCTTAGTAACAAAAATATATATAATAAAGATATAACAACACAGACATTATTGATTGTGGCTGGTTTAGAATTACTGGAACGTAAACTTCTTGAATTAAATCTTTATTCCAAAAGCTGTGAAAGTCATTCTTAAATAATTGAGGCGCTACAAATTGGTAACCCCGACGTGATCTTCTTGACAATTTTTGAAGAGATCGAGGTCATAGGATAATATTTTGGAACGATATCTTCAAATAGAGAGTCTGGCTAGGACGTTGGCGAGATCTTGGGTTCACTGAACTTCATATAAAGTGACTCTTCATCATGCCTGTGGATAGAACTCCTGTCAAATCACCTGAAACTCCGAAAACAACTCCTGAAGATACTGAGGTACCGACCTTTTTTGGAGTATATTTAGGAGGAGCCAATTTGACGGGTGCTGATCTACTTCAATCCGGTGAGTCGAGACAAGTCAATTCCAATGAATTTCGCCTTGTAAAATTACCAACTTTCTGGCACAAGCATCCGAAACTCTGGTTTGCTCAATTAGAGAGCGAATTTCTAGTATATAGAATCCGTTCAGATGAAATTAAATTCAGCTCGATTCTTAAACACTTGGATGAAAAGGCGCTTTTAACTGTTTCCGACATTGTTGAAAATGCTTCTGAAAGAGATAAATATATCATTTTAAAGACTGCTCTAATTAATCGTTTTACTGATTCCGAAGAAAAACGTCTTAGACAGCTTTTAGCAGGAATTGAACTTAACGACAAGAAGCCTTCAGATTTATTACGCGAGATTAAGGGGATGCTAAACCGATTACCCAACTCAATCAAGGTCAATAGTACAGACTTTTTTAATTCCAATTTCGATAATAGTGGCGACATCTTTGATTTAGTTTTTACATTATATTATATAATATATATCATTCTGTCTTACTCAAACGCAT